TTGATGCGTTTGACGCAACACGCGCTCTTGTAAGAATTCATTCCATATAGCCTACTTGGTGATACTTCAACATTCGTTGCTGTTTTGTTTTTTAAATACTCATTTAGAACTTATTTCAAGTTAAATTTTTCTTTTCGACATTTGTAATAGCACTTTACAACATTCCCAATTTAAACGTACTAAAGTAGAACAAAGTATGTTTGGTAAATGCATCATGAATGAAAATGAAATAGAAGTGGGGAAGAAGGGAAGAATAGTCTGTGGCCACACTTGATCAACCGTAGCAGTTGACACGCTTTAAAAAAACGATTTTTACCTCAGTCTTTTTTTTTTTCCTGACATCTTTACGGGGGAGAGGGGGGGGGTACCGCCACCAGCCGAAAATATCTACGCCGCCCTTCCCCCGAACAAAATTATGTATATAAAAATGTATGTTTCAACCAGTGCCCCTATTCCCTTCCGCCATTCCTCCAAAGTTTCAAGTGCCCCCTCCCCGGAGAAAAAAAAGTTTGATATAAACACTGACCGCCTTCACACTGTCACAAAAAGCCAGACTATCCAGTTAATGCCCCCGCCGCCCTCCTCCCCGAAGAACATCCGCCAACCCCAACCATCCTTCAACCCCCCTCCCATCCCAAAAGAAAGAAATATTTCAGTTAGAAAAATATATACTTTAACCAGCGTTCTCCCATCCCCCTCTTCCGATTCGAAAATTTAAGTGCCACCCCCCCCCCCCCCCCCCCTCCTTAAAGTCCACCCTCCTCCCCAAAAAAAATGTCTGAAAGAAGTATTGTTCCACTCATAATTGCAACTTTTGTTTTTAAAGCAGTAGTAGTTGTTTTTTTTTTTTTGGTGATTGCTGATTTAATTAATCAAATTCTATAATAATTTACCAACACATTCTTTGAAAAACGCGAAACGAAAATTCTAGCTATAGAATCAGTGGCGTTGCTAGGTCGGGTGTCACCCGGTGCGGCACCTCTTGGTGTCATCCCCGCCCACTAGTATATATAGTAGTATATTCAACTAAACATTTTTCGCTCTGTAAAACTTGCAGTTGGTGTCACCCCCCACCCCCCTTCACCCATGGATGATTGGATAATAGAAGAGATGCTTATCAATAATCGGCCATTAATACAGCTGGATGTAGCATTTTTTCCGTATAATTAGCAGATTTATGTCATGGTGTTACCCCCCCCCCCCCCCCTTCTTATCGGGATCGACAATTTATACTTAAAATACTTTTTAACTCTAATAAATCATTAATTGAACTGTTAAAAAGCATAATTCTTCTATTTATTTTGCATTTTTGTCTTTGTGTCACCCCATCCCTAAAGTGTGTCACCCGGTGCGGTCCGCCCCCCGCCTCCCCACCTCGCGACGCCTCTGAGTAGAATTAATACAGGCCCTATCCCATTGACGTAACAGTCTCGAGTACCTGCACCGTTACCTTCACATACACCTTCGACACGTTCGAGTGATTCTCGGAGCAGGGGTGGTACAATCCGACCTTGTCTCTAACTCATATTGGCCTTATTGAAACCACAACTTTAAAAATTCCAAATAATCCTCGATTGATTTTCGATCGATTATTGGATTGACTACGTGATCCTGAATAAACGCGTGCCTGTATAACTAGTATAACGTAGGGGATTATTCGTTGTGTTTGTTTGAATATGTGTGTGTGTATGTTTGTTTGCGTGTGTGTCTCCATTGATCGATTCCTGAAACACATTGGCGTAGTGTCGTTAGTATTGCAATGTGATTTGTAAAGGGCTGTAAATTTAGAAACGAGTAGTTGGAGCTTCTTACAGGCCTCTCTTCTGGGAAGATCTAGTCCACCCCCCCCCCTTCCCCGAAAGTTTCAAGTGCTCCCCCCCCCCTTTCTCCCAAAGGAGAAAAAAGTCTGAAAGAAACTCTGCGTCTAGTCAGTGCTACATGGGACGGAGTGGTCTGGCGGTAGAGAGCTGGACTGCTAGCCCGTTAGTCTCGAGTTCGAATCCGAGTTCAAGTCAGTAGACCGTCCCTGATTCCACCCAACTCTGATGGGTACCTAACTCACGTTAAGGAAAGTAAAGGCGGCTGGGCATAGTGCTGACCACACTATCTCTTCATATGCCGAGGTCACAGAAACAAGTGAACTCTACTTCACTTGCCCCATAGACCGTAAGGTTTGAAAGGGAAACTTTACTTAGTCAGTGCTACGTTGGAACCTATAAAATTAACGTGTCACAATGAACGTCAATATTTCAGGCCTCTCGTCAGGGAAGATTTAGTCCACCACCCCACCCCCCGAATATTTAAAGTCCCCCCCCCCCCCCCCCCACTCCACCCCCACGGAGGAAAAAAGTCTAAAAGAAATACTGCGTCTAGTCAGTGCTACGTTGGAACCTATAAAATTGCAGTGTCACAATGACCGTCAATATTTTTGTACGAGTCACTTCATGAGGGAAAAAAATAAGCCAAACGGGAATTCCCGGAAATACTTATTTTGGTTACAAATAAAGGTTCTCAGCCTAGATCAGTGGTTCTAAACCTGGGTTCGACCGAACCCCACGTGTTCGGTGAGTCAGTCTCAGGGGTTCGATCGAGGTCAAAATATTCACCATCGGATTTTGTCAGTGCGGACGACAGAACTATTAAGGGTTCGGTGAATGGGCATATGAAACTGGTACGATTCGGTACCTCCAAAAAGGTTAAGAACCACTGGCCTGGATGTATTTTTCTTTTGCCGGTCGGCTTATCCCTGTTAGTTAGAGTTAGACTGAATAACAAGATTAATGTTAGAGCTCGAAACCAAGATAGGATATAGATTAAGATAAGTTGTTTTTTTTTTGCTAGGATTAGATTAACAGAATCATCGCTTGGATACGAATTGTAGACATGTTTGCAGGGACCAAATTATCACATGGCTTATATTGTATCTGTCTGAAATTATCACATGGCTTATATTGTATCTGTCTGAGTGCGTCATTGTTTATCAGCTTTGTTTAACGTTGGCAACCCCCCCCCCCTCACCACTCTACGTCAATAACCCCCCTGTATAGAACCCATTCCCAGGGGGTAGGAATAGGAAGCTAGATATGGAAAGGTATGGAATGTATTTCTAAAGGGAAGGGTATTTACCTTGGGGCGAGAGAGGAAGGGTGAATAAACAGGGCGGTTTTCGATCTCAGAGGGGGGGGGGGGGGTAAACCAAGAGAGGGCAGTGTGAGACGGGGGGGGGGTATTGTCCATGACCCAAAGGCCTGAATTTATAAAAAAACTGAAGTTAGCCATAACCATTGTACATCAGCGTCATACCTCGTGATATCATACCCCCAAGTCTAGACACACACACTATATATGTATATATATATATATATATATATATATATATATATATATATATATATATATATATATATATAATTGTATATATAACTTCTCCCTAGAACAGGGGGGGTCGGCAACCTTTTGAAGCGGAAGAGCCAAAAGTTACAATTTTCAAAATTTCCCCGGTTTTAAAGAGCCACTAACATTTTTTTTATTTCAAATATTTTATTGGTTTATTAAGATTATTAGTGTTTGTTCAAGGAGCTGAAGAGCCGCATCTTGATATCAAAAGAGCCGCAGGTTGCCGACCCCTGCCCTAGAACAATAAGCTTAATAATTTTGTTTTTTGCAAACACAATCATTTGGGGGAGTGTGAAACGAATAATTAATTACAATGATTGTTGTATTGAGAGTTACATGCTACATCTTCAGTAGAAATCATAGCAGTGTTTGAAAAAATGAATATGTAGGCTAGTCATGGCAGTTTGCTGTTCTAAACATTCATGAGAAACACTTTTTGCAAAAAGAACTTAGGAAATAAAACTTCCTATTTTAAAACACTGTCCAACATTACCACTGTACTTAATTTGATAAACACACAAAAAAAGGAAGAGTGCAGTTGCAGCCCTTTGTTCCTTAGAGAACATCACACAATTAAGCCAAAGTAATTCAGGTCAATACAAGGATTTTAATAAACAACTAGTAGAGTTGCAATATCTATTTATTCATCACTCCATCAATATCACCAACACAACAATCAATATCACAATCACAACAAGGATCATCTTACAAGAACCACCAGACACAGGCTGTTCTGATGATTTAAAATGCACAATAGAAATGCAAAACACATTGAACAATCTCATATATATATATATATATATATATATATATATATATATATATATATATATATATATATATATATATATATATATATATATATATATATATATATATATATATATATATATATATTTATTTATTTATTTATATATGAATGTGGAATTTATATGGGAGATAACAAGAACATGCTCTTTTGGGCTGGACTATAAGGATAGCCTCCCATTAAAATAGAAAATACAAGGATAAAGAGGGTATGGCCACCTGTTGTGGTAAATTTTATTGGAAGAGGGTGGGAGAAGGGAGGGGGCAAGGGGGACACAAAAGTTGTAAACCTTGCTTAGTTAGACATACAGACTTAAATGCTAAATATTTTTTCTATCTTATATAAAGAAAAAACTAGACGAGATAATAAAACATCAGTTGCTTGTTACAATATATGCAATGATGTTTGTAAACAAGAGTTTAAAGTATATCACATTGAGTCTAGACATATATAAAACTCTTACAAAAATAAAATATTTTTAAAAATACTGTAAAAAATTGAATGTAAATAAATGGAAGGCATAGCCTCACTATAAACAATGCTTTTTTTTTAAAGATGATGCAGTAAATTAAGTATAAATTAGTAAATACAATAAAAAATTAGTAAATATAATAATTTGGAATGGCTAAATGATTGTTCTATTTAAAAAATACAAAAACAATACGCAATCTTTTTTTTCCGAAGTCTAACAAAAATTAATATAATTTTAAAAAAAAAAAATTTAACATGAATTGGAAAAATTATAAATTGTCCAGTAAGAAGTCAATTTTTTTCTCCCAAATTTTAAAGTATTACTTTTGTTTAAATAAGTACTAGGTTTTGATTTAAGTTTAATTTTTTGAAAAGCAAATAAATTTTCTGCAATTATCACAATAAGAAAGAAAAAAATCCAGAACAATAAACTGTCCTGGACAATATGAAAAAATATCAATTTAAAATATAAACTTCAATCTCTGTACAACGTAAATAAAAATGTTTTCAAAGACAAATGTAAGCAGCAGGAGAGTTAATCTTTGATAAACGTTTCAGGGGATACGTGATAGTTACTCGGCCTCGGGGTCGTCAACGTATGAGTGGTAGCTGGCAGGTAGCTGGGCCCAGGACTGGGTTTCACCTGAGGCCAGGATTCCGTAGATGAAAGCACCAATGCCATAGATGCAAGCTGCCAGGTAAAACACAATCTGCCATTCACCTGACGAGTCCTGGTAATTAAGGAAACCATCAGTGAGCAAAAATTTTGGATTAAAATATTATCATTTGACACTACAACCATTGATAATTAATCTATATCAGTGGTTCTTAACCTAGGGGTTCAGTGAGTCAGTCTCAGGGTTTGGCAGAGATCAAGACACACACCTGACTCATTTATTTCACGATCGGATTTTGTTACAGTGGATGATAGAACTGTTAAGAATGGTGTGTGTGAAAGCGCATGTAAAATTAGTGGGGTTTGGTACATCCAAAAAGGTTAACAACCACTGGATTTTATTAACAGTGAATTATTAGATCATATTATATAAGGAAGTATGAAGTAAGTGAGAAAAATGTGAAAATTTGAAACTACCAATAATATTATAATCAATGAACAAAAATTTTTTTATAAGTCTCATGAAGTAGTAAATAAAGTCTAAGTGTGAGTTTACAAAATTAGATTTTTAAAACATCTGTTCTATTTTGACTTGTAACTGTTGTCGAAGTTTATTGTAGATAGTGTTTGATTAACTTGAACTTAGGCCTTCCATCCCCTTCCCAAAAAAAAACCCTATATAAACCTTAAAATGGTATAGAACATGATAGAGTGAAGTGATGTCTTCTTTCTCCTCTTGTATATAAATCAGCAACACTGGTTTCTAAGAGTTGGATTTATAAGGGGATAGTATGGTCAGCATTATGCCCAGCCACCTTATTTTCCCTGTTGTGAGTCAGGTACCCATTAGAGCTGGGTTGACTCAGGGTTGTCCTATTCACTTAACCTGGGATTTAAACTCAAGACTTTAAGGTCAACAGTCGTAGGCCACATACTATCCCTTTAAGGTATAGCATTATATAAAAAAAAGGGACGGAGTGGTCTAGCGGTAGAGAGCTGGACTGCTAACCCGCAAGTCTCAAGTTCAAATCCGGGTTCAAGTCAGTAGATAGTCCCTGAGTCCACCCAACTCTAATGGGTACCTAACTCACATTAGGGAAAGTAAAGGCGGCTGTGCATAGTGTGGACCACACTATCTCTTCATATGCCGATGTCACAGAAACAAGTGAACTCTACTTCACTTGCCCTATAGACCGTCAGGTTTGAAAAGGGAACTTTACTTTTTTTTTTTATTATATAAAAAAATTAAAAAGTGATCATTACAACTATACCTGGTCAGTCACAACCACGCTGGTCAGTCCAGGGCTGATGATACCTGGCAATGTGGCAAATGTGTTGGACAAGCCCATCAAAATGCTGGCATACTGCGGGGCAATGTCCAGGTGGTTAACACTAAAACCGGCCCAGGCAAAACCGCCCACACCCACGGCTACAGTCAAACACACCACAGCGGCCGCTCTGGACATCAGATAGCCAGCGGCTATCATGAACACAGCTTGGATTAAAAATGCTGAAAAATGATTTGAATGAATATAGTATTAATATTAATTAATTAGTATTAATTAATCAACTGACCATGGTTTGATGAACAATTTTATTAAATAGAATATTGCATGTTTATATTTTTTAAATTTCCTCAAAGAAAAAGCATTTAAATCAATGTATAAAAGGTACTGACTGCTGAAGTTAAGTGCACAAAAATATATTTTTTATGAAATATAGTTCAATAGGCCTTATCACTTACAAACTTTGAATTTTAAGAGGTTACTTTGAATAATAAAACAATAAAATGTATTGAATCTAAGAAAATTGTTAAGAAATGATGCATACAAATAAGGAGCTAAACAACTGAGCTTTGCATGGTTGAATTATTCACAAGTAAATCTAGCAATACAGATGGACTTGATCTAAATTCCTGGTCACAAATCAATGTTGTTTTAAGTCTGTATAATATCCGTAAACAAAAAATCCATGATATGGCTATCTAACATGAGATTGAAGAAGCAGAGATAAGACTAAGCCTGTCTCTGGCCTCCCATCTCATTTCTTCTATTAATTCAAGTGGATCTGATTAATTTGTAAAACATTCTTAAAGAGTAGGCCTACCTCACTAATTAATGTGTATGACCTACCTCCACAGGTAAAGATCTTCCTAACAGCTACAGTTGAGATGTTGAAAGATGACCTCAGAACATCAGCAAAATATCCGCCCATGAAGACAACAATTCCCATCACCAGGTATGGGAGAGCTGAGAGAAACCCACCCTGTACAGATATCAGATTGTCACATATCACTTAAACAATTAGTTGGCCTATAGATAAACTAAACACTTACTAAATAGCAACTTAACTAAACAAGAAGGTATTTGGTCTACACGGGATAGCAGAGAGGAATGCAACCTTTACAGTGATCAGATTTTCACATATCTTGTTTAACAATTATGGGACAGTGTGACCTAAGTGGTAGAGGGCAAGGCTGCTAACCCAAAAGTCTTGAGTTCAAAGCCGGGTCCAAGTCAGTAGAATGTCCCTGAGTCAACACAGCACTGAAGGGTACCTAACTCATGCTTGGGAAATTAAAGGCGGCTGGGCAAAGTGCTGACCACACATTCCATTAATATTTTGAAGTTGAGAAACATATGAACTCTACTTTATCTGTCCAATGGATCACTAGGTCTAAAGATTCTATACTTTTTTTTTTACTTTAGCAATTAGTTTGCCTATATATAGACAAATATCTTTTGAATAAAGTCCATTATTTCCATTACGGTAACTAGGACTGACCAAAGCCTCTATCAAAATTCCATTACAAAATAACAGTTAAGCAATGGTTACCTCCTTCATGTGGAACTTAAGAACGTGGGTCATGAAAGTGGGCAGTTCTGTCAACCAGGTGTAGAAGCCCCAGTTTTCAACAAAGTGAGCCGTGGCGATGGCCCAGACAGGTGCGGACTTGATCATCTGCAGCCACGGTGGGTGAGCTCTCTAAGATATAGAAATTTAAAAATAAACTACTCATATGGGAGGATAAGAAAATGTGTACAGGTGCGTGACTTGATAATCAATAGTAGGTGAGCTCTCTAAGAAGTAGAAATTATAAAATAAACTACTCATATGGGAGGATAAGAAAATGTGTACAGGTGCGTGACTTGATAATCAATAGTAGGTGAGCTCTATAAGAAGTAGAAATTATAAAATATACTACTCATATGGGAGGATAAGAAAATGTGTACAGGTACGGACTTGATAATCCATGGTGGGTAAGCTCTCTAAAGATGTAGAAATTTAAAAATATACTACTCATATGGAAGGATAAGAACATGTGTACAGGTACGGACTTGAGGTAGAAATTTTAAAATATACTACTCATATGGGAGGATAAGAAAATGTGTACAGGTACGTGACTTGATAATCTATGGTGGGTGAGCTCTCTAAGAAGTAGAAATTTAAAAATGAAATACTCATATCGGAGGATTTTAAAAAATGTTTACAGCTACAATGTGTTCATTTTAAATTGTCAAGGAATTTTATTTTACAATTTGATAAAAGCTATGCAATCAATTATCTCGGTAACCAAAAGAATTTTAATTTTAGCGAAAGGTATGTGATAAGCTACATTATGTGTAATTCCAAATGTTTATCTAGTATAAGTAGTTTCACTTCTTTTTAACTTAAAATAAAACACCAGTTATAGTGTTAGAGTGAAGAAAATTAACTCAACAACAATAAATTAGGCCTAATACGTCAGATGTTATAATCATTTTTCAAAATGGTAGGTGTTTTCTTTGTGGCTCTCTGCTCATTTTCTTTGCCAAAAAAAATGAAACAGTTAGCTAATCCAAGAAATGTATGAAACAATTTTTAAATAATAAATCATAATTCTTAAGGCAATTCAGTAACAAAACTAGAATTATACTTTTGATTGGATGATTGAAGATACTCATCCTTTATCATACAGATAAGAAGATTTGGACACTTAGCAACCTGTAAATAAAAAATAAAAAGATAACAGTACCTTAGTTTGTTCCTCAGTAAAACCAATAGAGTTCTGGATATAATCCAGCTCAGCTGTTGTGATGCCTGGGTGACTGGCTGGGTTTTCAGTGACAACAATAACCCACAACAGGAACCAGATGACAGCAAGTGACCCTGTTATAAGAAATGGATGTTGTTTACCCTATACCATTAGCAGGAGAAATAAATACTTGGCTTATCATCAGTGACATGCCTGCTGTGGACTTGGGGGACTAGGCTAGTGGCTTAGTAGTCTCAATAAGTACAAAAATACTAAATTTTGAAAAATCGTTATATAGCGTCATGGCAAGTGGAGAACTAGACATTTAACCTATCAGTTGCTCGTTTGAAACCAATGTGGAAATTGTAAATGTCATTCTTTACAGTCCTCCTGGGGAAATACCAGCACACACTACTGTTAATCACAAGCAGCCACTGTTTTTGTGCGACTAGATTTACTTAAAAAACGTGTTTATCCATATCAATATATTATGTAGCTATTGATAGTGTTTTTAATCTTCAAACAAAACAATGTTAACAATGAAACAAATTCAGCTCAGAAAAACTATTATCTCTCTATCAAGTATTTATTTCAAATTTCTTATAAAATTTCTATCATTTCAATAAGATATTAACAATAAATAGGCTACTAAAGATGGGTACTAATCAACTTTGCTTACCAAAGATGTAAAAAATTGACTGCCACTCGGCTGTGCTTTCAGCTAGGGATCCAGATATTACCAAGGCAAGAACAGTTCCAATATATGAACCTATAAACCAAGAATTTATTTACAATTAACTTCAGTTTCTTATTGATAATTAATTTGATAAGATTAATTTACTTGAGCTAAAAAAAAAAAAACTTAAGGCAAAAAGATTAAATAAAAAATAATAATTGGTCTGTATATTTGCAGGGAGATAAATACCATAAAACAATTTGGTTAAATAATTATTTTTTTTTAAAGGAATTTTAAAAAATATGGCAGTCCTTTTCTATATATTCAGTCCTTTTTTGATATATTGAAATTTAATTATTTTTTTACCTGAAAACCCAAATGTTGCCAGTTTTGTTCTCTCTGCTGGTGGGGCCCATTTGGACCAGAGAGCATGAATAGCTGGGTAAGTTACACCCTGATATGAAAATTATAAAATACATTATTTTAAATCTGTATGATCCATAAAAAAACCTATTAAAATAACATCTGCTAAATTTTTTTAAATTAATTTTTTTAAATAACTAATAAATTAAAAAAATATTTTTAATAATTGTAGTTTAAATACAGAAAATATCAAACCTTTTACTAGTCAATTATAAAAATAAATGCTTTTAAAAAAAGGTATAAAAGGTTTATTGGTATGTTAAATAATTTAAAGAAACATTAAAAGAAATTGTGGGACAGAGTGATCTAGCAGTAGAGAGCTAGACTGGTAACTGTAAGTCTCTAGTACAAATCCAGGTTCAAGTCAGTAGACCATCCCTGAGTCACCCAACTCTGATGGGTACCTAACTCATGTTAAGGAAAGTAAAGACAGCTGGCCATAGTGCTGACCACACTATCTCTCCATATGCAGAGGTCACAGAAACAGGTGAACTCTACTTCACTTGACCCACAGGTCTGGAAGGGGGACTTAACTTTTTACTTTTTAAAAGAAATAGCAGGTCACCTCACAAAGCCCCTCCAATACGCGGCAGGCAATCAAAAGGTTGGGGCTCCATGTAGCAAGTAGTGGTGTGGTCAGGGTCAGCAAAGCAGTGATGAATATCCCAATGCCGAAAAAGTGTTTGCCCCCATAGCGATTAGACAGGTAACCTGTAAAATATGAATAGTGGATCAAATAACTTTATTAGAAAAGCTACAAGGCTGGCTTACTTCTTCTTCTTCATTCTTAATTTTAGTGTTGGAGGGGGTCCCCTCCAACACAATTAAGTAATATGTGTCAACTGGTTATGCGCCATTGAGGCGATTGACTCCAATATCAGCCTGCTTTTCTTTTTGGATTTGCTTCCATAGCCTTTGTCCAACCAAGAACAAACTACAAGGCAGCAGTTGTTTGATTTTGGAGTTGTCTCTCCAAGAAGAGTGATTGTCCCCAACTAGCGAGCCTCATCTGCCCGAGGGTTCGAACTCAAGACTTTTTGGTTTAGCAACCATGACCTTTACCAAAAGGACCATGCCAACCCCTGGCTGGCTTACAAATGTGTAGAAAATTATTTCTAAAAACAAATATAAAAAAAATATACCTCCAGGAATTTGTGTAACAATGTAGCCATAAAAGAAACTGGCCAAAATCTGGCCACGTAGGTAATTACTCCAGTGAAAATATGGTCCAGATATCTAATAAAGAAAAAAAAAGGAGTTAAATTTATTAGTGCTTGTGTTTTATTCAATTTACATGTTTTAAAAATAAAATGACTCTAAAGACATGCTTTTTTAATTCCATGAAATGTTAAAAAGCAGATTCAATATTTTTTTTACAATTAGCTAAAACTAAAACATTATTTCAAATAAATCAGGCTCTATTATTTGCTTTAACCACATAGTTTAAAAAGTCTATTATATGTATTTTTTTTAAAGAGCAGTTTTATGGTAAGATTTTAATCCACTTGAATTTTTAAGCTTAGCCCACTTTAATCAATTTGTACACTTAGAGTGTGAATAACTTTAAGTGGTTGGAACTAGCTACCATTAAAGTTCCACTCATATGAGATTATACTTACTGTGTGTAGTGTACCATTTATGACAACACTTTTGTTTGACGTCATAGCCACAATAGCAACACTCAAGTTGACTCTCAGAGAATATAAATTGGCTGGGGAGTGGATCAAGTCCGGAAAATTATAAACATTTTTTTCTTAAAAGAATCACAGTTAGTAGATTTAGTTTTTCAGATAAAATAAAAAAAAAGTAAAAGATTATTTCTAATAAGATTTTTCTCAAAAAAAAGTGTATATATAACAAAGGTCAAACAAAAACAATTTAAGGAAAGAATTTTTTTTACTGCTATATCTTGGTACTTATTTGAATAAATTATTTACAAGTTAAACAATATGGCTAAAGCAGCAGCATATGTCTATAAAATATAAATAATGATCAAAATATCTGTATATGACTTAAAATAATTAAAAGCACAAATAAACATGCTTTTACACAACCTAGTAAAGTTGAAGTTAAAATTTAAACATTTGCATGCAAAACTTAAAAACATTTATAAATATATATGGAATTTGTACAGGTATTTATAAATAAAATTTGGTAAAATAAGAACTGTGAACACATATACTTTAAAACATTTAATATATAATTTATGTTCCAGCAGATAGACATCTTAAAAGTGTTGTGGATTTTAGAAATTATTATAAAGAAGCATTGTAATGAACTATGTGTTGTTATAAATACAAATTTAAAATTTAGCATTTTTTTTTACCTCCACCATTAGCCTAGGTCAAAATATGCATAAATATTTTAGAACTGTTATACATTTTAAATAAAGTAGTAGGCTTATATTTTTTTTCAAATAACAAATAATAATAAATGTTGTGGGACATAGCATACCTCAACTTCATCTGATGGGAAATATGTTTGTGTATCGCTTCAAGAATATGCATTATACAGTGATTACTCACGACCAAAGATGACAACAGCTTAAAAAAAATAAATAATAAAAAACAATGAAAGTAAACAAATATGGATAACTGTAAAGCATGGACAACACTGACTCATTTCAGTATGAATATAACGAGATGGTTAGCTCACCAAATCCCAGGAAGACCATTAGTGCAATGATGTATCTTTTAGGTGGGATGTACCAGGGTGTGGCATTGCTGGATGCCTTGCCAGTGACATCCAGGGACTCATGGCTGAATGCTGGGTCAGTGGTGTGTGACCCTTCGGTGTAAAGTTCGGTGGCTGATGAGGACGCCAAAGGTTGGTGCTCGCTGTCCATGATTTCAAGAACTTATCTGAAACTGGTATTAGTTAATTCGTTAAAATAACTATTGAATGTTATGTCGATATAATACTTTGGTGATCATGGGTTAATATTGAGTATGGTGGTGGCTGTCTTAAAAAAAGAAAGATGAAGATTGCAGTTCCTGGTTTTGGTCTCAAGTAAATAAATAGCTTTAGCCTATGCCTTTAATATCCTCTATACCTATATATATATATATATATATATATATATATATATATATATATATATATATATATATATATATATATATATATATATATATATATATATATATAGGACGGCATGGCTGGGCATAGTTGACCACACTATCCCTTCATACACAGAATCTGAAGCAGATGAACTCTACTTCATCTGCCCCATGTGTCTTGGTCTTGGGCAAGAGCGGAAAAAAAATGATGATTTACATACACACACATAGATCTACATATAGCCTATATATTTATTTATATAGATCTAGCTTCAATGATAGACCTATATCAGGGGAGGGGGGTCAGTTTATTAATACATGTTTTATAATGGGCCCATTGTATATGGTCTTTAGACCTAATAAAAGGCTAATATACAAACACATATAGATCTAGCTATTAATTAATAGTAGGCCTTTGAATCAAATAATTAAGCCAAAATGTTTAATCTGCATTACTTAAGCAATCACTTAATTTATAAACTATAAAGTAATAAACTACTACTTCAAACTAGCCATTTGATCACTTAGCATAGTTGCCTAATTGGATATTTTTTTAATGCACACGAAACTGCACTGCAATAAAATCATAATAAAGCTCTATAGTTCTATAGTATAGTCTACTGAAAAGATAAAATTAGTGGCTCTAGTCGTAGTCTAGAATTCTATATTTGCATCTCTAGAAACTATGCTACGAGTGTGACTATGACATTTATTTTTCTATGCCCATCACGTTAAAATAAATCTACATTCTAGATTAGATCTATCTAAACGTTAACAGTAACACGCAAGCCTAAAATAAAGTACGAAACAGTACCCTGTCTACTAGAGCACTTAGAATAGAAATCTAGCTAGACTTCTAGATCTAGATCTAGATCTAGAATAAAATAAGGTGGCTACAATAAAGTACAATTTTTAGCTACACTGTGCTACACTAATAAAAAAAAAACATTCATATAGATCTAGATCTAGGCCTACTAGACTAATATCAATTCGGGTATTTCAAATATTTATTTTTGTGTTATAAACAATTTCTAAAAATGAAGCAATATTATCAAATGCACGGAATTTCCTTATGCACAGAAATGGCACATTGTCACCATCTGGTTACCGGCGATAAAATCATTCATGAAAATATGTAAATTCCCCCAATATTATCATAATGTTATAAATACTCCCGGTTCAACCAATCGCCGAAGGCTTCGCGATGGATGGTGAACTCTTTATATGACGTCACGAAGACATTTTGGTTTCAGACTATAGGCCTAGGCATACACTGAATTCGGACGTCTAGTTACTGGGGTGCCTTCGTTTTTATTCGAAATTGGATTATTAGACTCCTTTAAAATGGGGCATCTTTATGTACTTGGTGCACTCCTTGTATTATGGCAGGTTTGTAAATTAATACTTTTGTTGGCCAAATGAAACGACTTGTTTTTCTAGTGAAATCAACCGGGCTCATGCACTGAAAAGAACTCGCGACATTCAGCATTCATTGGCGACTCGTGTGACTGGATTTGGGTTGGATACAGCCTGCAGCGACACAGTAACAACCCAAGCAGCAGTTTAGATTTTTGATAGTTAGGAGTTTGGCTTCATGTGTCATTATTGTATCTTAAACCACGTATTTATGTAATTTATAGTAATCCATACATTGCATGCCTTTAAATTTATGTTAGTAGGCCCTAATAAAAACTAAATAACAGGCCGCTTTGTAGATTTGTACTCTTTAAGTTTTAGTTTAGTCGGCCCAGAAATAAAAATTAAAAAAATAGCTCATTCTAAGCTGCATTATGGCATTATGACTTAAAAATCTAAAATAAATTAAATGAAGTTTAAAAAAAAGACAGTGTATGGCGTGTGTGCTCGAAGCTAGGGGAGGTAGGGTGGGGCTACCAGTAGCACACCCAGCACTGACTGAGACTCTGGGGGGTGTGGGGCCCTTTAGTAACAGAAATTTTAATAGCTCATTCTAAGCTCCTAAGCTGCATGTTTTTTTTTTTAAGAAAGCAGAATCCTGCTTTGCTTTCATAGAACGGATTTAACTTTTCTACTTCAATTTTGTGACTACTAAAAAGGCACACCTAACTCTAGCCTTTCCATTATGGGAGGGGGGGGGGGGTGCTTTTTCACCTACTCAAATAAATAGATATCAATTGGGGGGGGGGGCGGCGGCACAAATTTGATACTTTACCCCATGCACTTAATGGGTCTCTATTATAGCTCTGTGCCTTCCCACACCCAAAGTTAAATGTTGCATCCCCCCCCCCCCTTCCCTTGCCATTGTGAGACAATTCCGCTATAATGAAATCTTCCTAAAAGGTGATTACTAATTACTGGAAGTTAACTAAATTAGTAAATATAAGTGGGTTACTAAAGTCATTCCTGTCCCAAACCTTAAGCCTTAACCACGCCTGGTGAGCTTGATTTTACAACAGGTTCAATATTGAAACTTTTAATATATATATCATCGTAGGCCTAGGCTGGATGGGGATGTGGTCAGAGTTTATTCCAGATATCTCTTCACTGATGAAAGTCTACTGCCCTCCAAACAAAATGGAATTCATATTAAAAAAAATACTTTACCAGTGTAGTCATCCTCCTTCCCCCCCCCCCCCCCCCCAAGAAAATGTCAATTGAGCCTTCCCCCTTCCCCCCCATCCTGGTTAGTGTTAACATTTGAAGAATCTAATTAACTTACTAATTGCTGCTACCAACCTATTTATCTAACAGTAGTAATAGGCCCTGCCATTCAGGATTAGCCTGTTAAAGTTGCCACATCAGACAGTGGTGAACACACATTGTGTAGGCCTAAGTATCAACATTTTTTGTACATAAAATTAGTAATAAAAAATCATAACAATTCTTAGAATATAATTATAATTGGTCAGTTCCCCTACATGTTGCCACAAATGCTACATCAAAATAACTTTTTAAAAAGTCTGGCCTACAACCCACTGTTAGCTAGATACACCCATACGGCAGTTACCTAGACAGGCCTACCTTTCCAAAAAAACCTATTATGGCTGAATGAGTGTGTGGAATGTCAACCCCCAGGTATGCAGTCTGTGTTACGAAGGAGTGTTGTTCAATGAAGCTGGAGTAGTGTTACCTTCCCACATCTTTCTGATGTATTTGTCATACTATTCGTAATATTAAAACTAGAACTAAACACAGTTTACTCTTTAGTTTTAAATATATACATTCAATATAATTTATCTAAGTTATTAGGGGCCTACATAGTTATTACCATGAAGACATCTCTGCTAGTTGCAAATATTCAACAAACGTATCCCAAAATGTGAGATATCTTAAGAGTAAAAAAATCGCCATTTTCGAACAAGCTTTACTCAAAGGTTCCCAAACTTTCTCAGCCCACTCTACCCCATTTAAAACAAATTCTCTAAGTGAATAGATCTGTACATTTAAAAGATGTTTAAATCCCCCCCCCCTCTACTATATATTGTTCAACCATAAGTGGTTGTACTACTTAAAACTTAAGTAAAAACAAGTGGCTGTTTTTAAATTCAGCTCTGGAATAAAGTAAAACCTTGAGTTTGTTTAGCCTACAGCAGGTTATAGCTAAGCTACCCTGTTAGTAGTTAGGTTACTGCCTGGCATTAGAAATTAAAAATACCATTATGAGAAAGGAGCTTGTAACATGTGTGTTTAAAAATAGGCACACAGTACTGCACAAAATCTGATGGTACAACTTGGTTTGGAAACTCAGGGAGGTTATTATTTAAAGGTTGTAATTTTCTACACAAATTGATGCTTTGACTTCTGATATCTACCACATGAAAACTAAATTAACTTCAAGTTCAGTCTTTTAACGAACATCAGAAGTGCTGAAAATTGATATTACATTCATAGTTAAGTAGCTAAAATGGTTTTAGGTTGGTGTGCGGATCTGAGAATAATCACCAGTATTTGTCTGAATGGTGATAGTAAATGAGAAGAGACGATCATACTGCAAAATCAATTAAATATATTTTTCACATGACATTTATGCATCAAAATAAATCTACAATTTATTTTAAAAATTCACGTAGTTCAACATATAGCAGTCTTTTCAGCAAACTTTTATTAGTTCTAAAGTGTTGTGAAATCTGTTACTTTATTGATTAGTTTTGCAATGAATGTCCCTTAGGTGAGACTTATCTACTTAAGCCCACATAGCTGGTATGTTTAAAATACTTCACTCCTTCTGCCTTATGTTTTTCAAGAATGATTTAGTGTTTTATTATGGATATTTATATTGCTGCAACCCCTTCCATTTCCCAACCTTCATGGCCAAATCTCTGGTAATACTGGCATCACAGATTGTTTTTTTAATTTTATTTTTGTTGAGGCCATATTTATTAAGCACCACCTATTAATAGTTAACTTTCAGAGCTGTGTAAAGCAATACATATGGCCTTAGAGATCCATGTTATTTGTTAAATAATTTCATATTAGAATTAAGTTAACAATACTATTTTAGTATTTTTTGAGAATTTTTTTCACCGAGAAGTTAAAAAAGATCATAATTATAACTGTTTTTAATTATTTTAATGAGGCTCATCTTTGTTCCAGACTTCAAATGCTGCAACACTTGAAGAAAAATTTGAGCCAATGGTGGCGTTCATCTGTGAGCGCCCAGCCATGCACAGGGGAGTCAACGGATGGATCTCTGACAAATCAACCGATTGCTTGGACAGAATGGAAGACATTTTGGCTTACTGTAAAAATGTAAGCTTTGCATTTTTTTAATTTTGTGCCAACTATTCTAAATTTTTTATTCAAGTTTACAAAAATAATAAAAATACTTTCCAAAAATTAAGGCAGTTTATAAAAAAAAACACCAACTTATAATTTTGGTCTTTCCTATTATCCCAACTATGGGAAGGAGTGGTCTAGCGGTAGAGAGCTGGACTGCTAACCCGTAAGTCTCGAGTTCAAATCCGGGTTCAAGTCAGTAGACCGTCCCTGAGTCCATCCAATTCTGATGGGTACCTAACTCACGTTAGGGAAAGTAAAGGCGGCTGGGCATAGAGCTGACCATACTATCTCTTCATATGCCGAGGTCACAGAAACAAGTGAACTCTACTTCACTTGCCCCATAGACCGTCAGGTTTGAAAGGGAAACTTTACTTACTTATTATCCCAACTCCATAAAAAATTGAATCAATTCATTAATTTTGTATTTTAAGTTCAAAGATCAAAATAAGTCACACATCTGTAAATAAAAAATAAAATTGTAATCCTCACAGAAATTATTGTTGAGCAACAAGCGTGCAGTAAATCTATTAATTTTATAAGTGTTCAATTCTAGTCAGAAGTTGTTTTTTTTATTTCCTTGTTCTAGATTTACCCAGACCACAACATCACAAATGTTGTTGAAGCATCTTACCTGGTGACCATCCCTGACTGGCCAATGGGCACATCTGACAGACAACATCCTCACCGTGTCCGTCCATTCAGATGCTTGGGTAAGTATTTTTTTATAATAAACCTATACTTCTAGCGAAAGTGTTCTTCTAGAATTATTTACATGACAATTTCTAGTTATGTTTTACCGTACATCCGGCATTATACAGAGGTTATTTTTAATGGAATTATGTACCTGTAGTGCATAGTTATTTTACACAATCTTTAACATAACTGCTAAGAATTGTGGGACAGTGTGGTCAAGTAGAAGAGCCCTAGAATCCTAACTTAGGGAAAGTAAAGGCGGCTGGCCATAATGCTAACCACACTATCCCTTCATATGCTGAGGTCACAGAAAAGTGAACTTTACTTCACTTGGACTGTCAGGTTTAAAATGGCAACTTATCTATTTTAACCAAGAATTGAACGATTTAAACTTATCAAATATCAATCACTTATTCATTAGTATTCATTTTAAATGTACAATTTTTGACTAATTCATAATTAGTAACCTTTTTTTTTTAATTTTTCAGTTGGAGGGTTCCAGTCTGATGCATTGCTTGTACCCCAGCACTGTGAATTTGATCATCGCCATGACCAGACTCTCTGCGAAGGGTTCTCACACTGGAACAGTGTAGCTGATGATGCCTGCAAGAAGAAGGCCATGCACCTGGAAAGTTTTGGGATGCTTTTAAACTGCAAGCTGGGAAAGTTCAGCGGAGTGGAATATGTGTGCTGCCCCGCTGAGAGTGAGTACTGCTTTTTGTACTACAAATTTTATAACCCTTTTCTTCTGTCTTCCAGGCTCTATTATAAGGATACTACAATTGTGTCTGGGGTTTGTAGGTTTACAAGTACAATAAATTGTTTCACTCCCCATGTGGGGCTATGATATAAAGCTTCGCTATAACTATATGACATTTGTCATGTCTTTACTTTATCCCCTTCAAATTATATTTCAAACACTGCAAGCACTACATATCACTTTGTAAACGAATTTCAACTGCTTTATAAGAGACATATTTCCATTAACACTTGAATTATTAATTTTATTGTTAAGGGATATTGCTGTTTATCTACATTAACGGATATTGCTTTTTACGCTTTTTACTACTATATCTACATTTTTCATCTAAAATGTCTGAAATGTTGGTGCTCTTAATTGAGATGGAGGTATAATCTATATATATATATATATATATATATATATATATATATATATATATATATATATATATATCAGTTAGTAAAAGAATTTTAACTGCATGATACTAGATATATTATTTTATTAGAACTTGAGTTATTAATTTTATTATTGAGCGATATTTCTGTTTATTTTTTACACGTTAGGGGTATTGTTGTTTACTATATCTACACCATTTGTCATCTGAGATGTTGATGCTCTTTAAATGAGATGGGGGTATAATCAATATCTGTCAGTCACACAACACACAATACAGTCTGTGAGATAGCAATACATAAATGTAACAGTCTGGTTTCTAAAACACCTCCTGTCTAACAATGTAGATATGCTTAAGGTTACAAAGTTAGGTAGCCTATGTAGATACTTTAAGAATGACACAAAAACAGTTACCGAGTTGTGTAATTTTGGGTGAAATTATCTTACTGCTGTTTATAAACTGAATGGCTTAAATACATACAACTAGTAACTATTCTCCTATAATGATAAATATGCTATGCCTAAGAATAGATAACCCACATACTGTTAGGTAGAGTTTATCAATAATTTTAATTGCAGCTGCTTTGTAATGTATGAAACATTCATTTGACCCAGTTCAGCATTTCAGTTTGTTATGCCTAGTATTTTGAATAGTCATGCAGTAAACTACTTCAGTAATTTCAATTCTCATTAATTTGTAACATATAAAACATTCAAAAGACTTTGTTTGGCTTGTCAGTAGCTTAGTTATGTCTTGTATTTTGAATAGTCACGCAGTAAAATACTTTAGTAATTTCAACTGTCATTAATTTGTAACACATAAAACATATTCAAAAGACCCAATTTGGCTTGTCAGTAAGTTAGTTATTCCTTTTATTTTGAGTATCAGACAGTAAACACTATCAGACCTTGCAATCTGTCTAGCTGCGCTTAGGCAAAAAGCCAACAGCTATTGTTCTACATTATGTAGTTTGCAACTATTATTTAGTAGAATTTTGGTCGAATGCTGAAAATAGAGTTGGCTGTAGAAAGTATGTTTCTGCTCCAGGCTTAATTATCCTGGCTGCTACCAGAATGTCAAATATAATTGTAGGCTACCAACAGTCATGACTCATGGTTAGAATCTATTTCTTGCTGTTCTGTATTTTTTTAAAACTCTGGTACTCTGTGGTTATAAAACAAGGAAGTGTCTCGCTGGTTGTTTTTATATTCATAGTTTGAAATATAGATTTTATTTAGAAACTGGGGCTGTTCAGAGGGATGTAGTCCCAAGACACTAATCAACTATAGGCCTACAGTGTCGTTGCTGAGAAACTTTCTCAACATCTTTATTTTTTAAAAGAACTGGCTCATCACTAATGGGCTATACAACCAAATCCAGAAAGCAAAGCAAGATGAAGTTAGAATCAATGGCCTAAAATGCACAAAACACGCTGACACCTAATACTTGTGTTTTGGGAAATTCCGTTCAACACTGCATTAAAGAACTAATGCATCGAATCTACTACAAGAAAAATGAAAATGGGTATAACCTATATGGGGCATTGGAAACAATCCCGTGTTTAAGAAATTATTTCCTTCAAAGCCATACTGGGACGTGCATAATTTCTTTCCATGTTTAAAATGCGTTTATTTATATATCATTGACATTTAGCTCGGGCATGAGGAGAGGGGGGGGGTCATTGATTTTTACGTTTCCATGATGGCATGGAGGCTTCTGGTGGAATAGATTTTTGTTCTGACGGTCTGGCCGCAACCACATTGCGTAATAGGAGCACGGGAAGGTAGTTTGGCCTTTTGGTCAATAGGTTTTCGAGAGGGCATCCGTGCGGAAGCTGCAATTTCCAGACGAAGAGCTTCTCGGGTAGCATTACGTTTTCTAATCTGTTGTCTTCGTCTTTTTTTTTCGTGATATTAAAGATTAGGAAATATGGTGTAGTCAACAGTCGCAGTTTTCAGGAGTAATAGTTATTTTGCTAACCTATTGTCACAGTATGATATATATATATATATATATATATATATATATATATATATATATATATATATATATATATATATATATATATATATATATATATGCATGTCTTCTACGAAGTATGAAGCTTCTCTTTTTTTTAAAAATAATAATATTATGTATCGAATGGCAATTCCAGATTCTACTAAAATCAATGCATCTTATTTTAATGCTCTTCTATTGTCAAATGTTATTGGATTTTTATTATCTGTGGACTATTCTTAATAAAAACCTGTAGGTTATTGAATGATTCTCATTTAAAATATGCAACCGCGTGCACGCTCTATTTCCGGTTATGCAACCCTTGTCTTTTAAACAGCCAGGAGTGAAAGATTAGCAAAACTCTACACCTTAGTTCCCCCTCACCCCTTATGCACTAGCTATGCTGTATCTTCTCTCTAATGGCATTTTCCCCCTAATCTTTGCATGCATGACGATTGATGGAATACCTTGCCTCGGTAAGCGCTAGCATTCGATCACTACCTTTGCGCACCCGATCCCCAGTGTTGTCGTGTCGGCCATTTTGTCTCGTGCTCCCCCTAGCGGGTTGTGGGTAACAATAAAATGGAGGAGTAAGCACGATAGCTGGGGGTGGCAGGGTGTAATCTTCTCCTGTCCCAAATCGCTATGTGTGTTCTATAAAAAAAAATAATCAACAGGATGCCCGAATCCTTCATCGATTTATGCAATGCCGTTTTATTTCTTTCTAGTTCATTTTATTTACATGGGCTTCTTTTTGGTCTTAGCTAAAACATATAATGCTAACGTTCAACACAGATGGCTGAACATTATCGCCTATTTATACGATATTATATCCTGACATTGTACAGTCCTCGTTAGAAAATCGATCTTGATATATTGTCCAGTACTAGTCTCTTGGTGATCTGGGAAAGAAAAAAACGTGCAAGAAATAAACAATGCCAGCGTCTCGGGAGGAATAATGGCCATCAAAATTGCTTTCCATAAGTATTTCTGAAGAGTATAATTAACAATGAAGGGCTCGAATATTCCTTGTCGCGTACAGAAGAAGAGTACTTCAACCATAGCCTTCGGCAGGTAGATGTAAATAGAGTACATCATCGTGGTTTTAACGATGTTCACTCGCATGCCCACGTCAATGTAGTTGTTGTACTAGTTAGATAATAAAAATGCCTATTGTGGAGTTTGAGTCTCCGTGAATGCTAATGTCAGTTAACGTTTCTATTATTGCGCAGGCAATCGAATAAACTGAGACCCCCCATTTCTCGCCCAGTGGGCTCACCCGCCGGGGATAAGCCTTGTAAGTAAATCAATGGGCAATTCCCGGAGGGGCGAGCGGAAGCAAATTGTTGTCGTGTCTAATTGACAATGACTTTTTTCTGTGTTGGTTGGTGTACCCAGAGGCGCACGGGGATTTGTTCTTTCTTGTAGAAACGTCCACAGTCCAGTTGTTTATTTTTAAATTGACTGCTCTATTTCTTCTTTGAGTTGTTTTTTTAAATTAAATTTTAAGAATATTTTAAGTGAAGTATTCTGTTTTTAAAAACAATAAAATTGACTTATGGAAGTCGTGTTTGTATAATTTAGCCTATATATCAGCCTATATATCAAAAACATTCGATATTCGGCGTTAGTTCGGCGTCTGTAGACTTCACCAAAAATAGCTTACACACTAACGACTTCTTTCAATAAATTATTTGATTATAGGTAACTTAAACAAGAATCATGCTTTAAAAGAGATGAAAGTTAAAATTCGATGTGTTTTTGTCTTTGCCATTCTGTTTTAGTAAACTTCCTAACAAGTGACATTCACTTTACTTTCCCTAACGTGAGTTAGGTACTCATCAGAGTTGGGTGGACTCAGGGACGGTCTACTGACTTGAACCCGGATTCCAACTAGAGACTTACGGGTTTGGAGTCCAGCTCTCTACTGCTAGACCACTCCGTTCCCTAGATGCGTTAGAAGCACACTAAAAAAATTTGAATCTCAGCATTTTTAAATTCTTTTTTTTCTCGGCGTGAGCACTACAAATCTAAACAAACATTCATCTTATGTCTCGTGTGCTTCCGGTTTAGTGCTAGGTAAACAAAACTGTTTATTTTCCGCAGATGTTTTTAAAAAAATTAAGATTCAGCAAGTTAGCTTGTTTCAGTTTTTTGTTCTTGAGAACTTTTTAAAGGTTTGCTGAGCACCTAGAATAACATTTTTTTTCCTGCCCTTTAAAACTTAAAGTGTAGTCATGTTGTATACATGTTGAGATAGGGATCCAGCAAACACAGACAGACTAAAGAAGTTAATATAAAGAATAGCTACACAGTTTCAGCATTTCATATAACATATCAGATTAAGTCTAGCTGAAGTATAAACTGCAATGGTTTATTTTGATTTAGTCGAAAATGTGACTAAGTACTTAAAGCATTGCGGTCTCTCTGTTTATGTTCTTAACGCGTAAGTTCCGTGAACCTTTAAAAGTCCTTCGGAGAGGATAAAGCACTTGAACTGCCTCTCTCCAAATCTCTATGGACTCAAAATTAACTCATTTTACAACTCTATTTCAAGGCTAGGTCAGGTC